TGTGGCAATACAGTCCAATGATATCATTTGACAGGTTGGCCATGATTGTATGTAGGGACAGTAAAAGCAAATTTTGCTTTATCCTTTGGCTGCAAGGGAATGGTAAAGAAGCAATCTTTCAGGTCTATCACCATAATGCTCCACCCTTGTGGAATCATAGCAGGAGAAGGGAGACCTAATTGTAATCCTCCCGTAGGTTCTATGCATTTATTTACTTCACGTAGATCTATTAAAGGTTTCTACTTTCCAGATTTTTTCTTAATAACAAACACTGGAGAATTCCAAGGAGATGTAGAAGGTTCAATATGGCCAGCAGATAGCTGCTCAGCCACTAATTGTTCTAAAGCCTCGAGCTTAAGTGCAGGAAGTGGCCACTGCTCAGTCCATTTAGGTTTGGTAATGATCCATTTTAAAGGAAGTGCTCGAGGACGCTGAGCAGTGGCTATTAGTTTTCCGATGGAAAAGACAAGGTTACACCTAATTTTGTTAAAATGTCTCTGCCCCAAATATTAATGGGTATATTTATAATATAAAAAAAATGTTGTAATTGTAGTTCCACCTGTTGTTTGAACTGGCAATGGAGAATTACTCTTCCATACATTAGAAACAGTTCCAAGTCCAGACAATGATAAGGAGCATCTTTGTTTTTCCCAATCAGTAGGCCATTGCAATAAAGAAATTACAGAAACATCTGCTCCGGTATCCATTAGGCCTTCAAAAGGCTTTTGATTTATTAATAAAGTAAGAGAAGGGGGAGAGTCTTTAATAAGCATCTCCCAATAAATTTCCCTTCCTGTGCTACCAAATCCCCTGGTACGTTCTTTGCCAGTATTACCAAAAGGAATATAAGGGAGTAACAACAGTTGTGCAATTCTTTCCCCAGCAATTAAGGAAATGGTTTTAGATGTTTTTACTGCAATAAGAATTTCTCCTCTATAATCAGGATCAGTTATTCCAGGGAAAATCGTTAATCCTCGAAGGGCAGCACTACTTCGACCAAGAAGAAGACCGAAGGTGCCTTGGGGCATGGGGCCAAATACATTTGTTCTCAATTTATACACTCCCGCACCAGGAGAGAGAGTTACACACTTGGCAACTGGAAGATCGGCGGCAGCGCTACCTTGTGTAGCAGCCTTTAAATCAGAAATGACTAAGCGATGGCTATTCGAGGAGACTCGGGAGCCATGGATTGAGGCATTGTTGGGTTGGTAGTCCTCGGTATTGTTGTTGGGCCCCAAGGACTCAGGCCCACTGAGAAGTTTCCCTGTTGACGTGGGGGAAGAGGATTCCCATCTTTATCACTACGAGATCTACATTCATTAGTCCAGTGTCTCCCTTTTCCACATCTACGACAGGGCCCAGAAGGTTGTTGCTTGGGTATATAGCAGGAGAAGTTTCTGAAGGCTTATTACATTTGTGACATTCTTTTTGGAAATGCCCTGATTTGCCACAATTAAAACAAGTTCCCTTACGTTGGGGTTTCAAAGCAGTCGCCATTGCAGTCGCAAACACAGTAGCTGATGTTCAACCCCTCCAACACCTGAACAGGCTTGTATATATTCAGCGATACTTGCCCCCTGTCCTCTTAAAGGATTCAGAATACGTTTGCATTCCGAATTAGCATTTTCATATGCCAAGGTTTGTAACAGAATTCGAGATATCTGGTCTGTTCCCACAGCCCTCTCAACTGCCACTCTGAGGCGAGCCAAAACATCTGTATATGGCTCTGTAGCTCCTTGCATAATTTTAACAAATGACGGTTGAGAGTGACCTGTAGGAACAACTCGCCTCCAAGCTCTCAAAAAAACCTGTCTAACCTGCTGTAAATCTTGATCAGTATATTGAGCCTGAGCTTGTAAAGACCGAAAAAGGCCATCTCCCATTAATTTCTCTTCCAAGGGTCCGGGGGGGCTGTTGTGTCTGGTTTATACGAGCCTGTTTGCGAGCTTCCTCTTCCCACCAGCTACGAAGCTGTAACCATTGGGAACCTTCGAGCACAGCCTGCGCAATGGCCTCCCAATCTATGGGCAAAAGAAGCTTTGCCGTTCCCACAGTCTCCATCATTGTCAATACAAAAGGGGATTGTGGCCCATATTGAGCCACTGCAGATTTTAAATCCTTAAAAAATGTATACTCCATAGGCATATAATTTACATTTATCATTCCGGGAGGTCCAGGTTGCCGAGTTACTGGAAAAAGCTGAGGAGGATCGATAAAGCCACTAGGTGGTGCTGGAAGATCATCATCATCATCATAAAACATAGTGGCAGGGAAAGTAAAACGTCGATTTTCTCGGCCCACATCTACATCTGACATTTTGGGTTTTTCTATAGGAAATAGGGAGGCATATGAAGGCGCGGTAGGAATCACAGGCACAGTAGAAACTCTTTTAGAATCTTTTTTTGCCTGTACTTTGCTCATCATTTTGTGAAACATATCAGTCATAGTAGAAACTAGTTTATCAAGTTCTTTATCCCCCTTTGTTGCCCCTTCCTCCTTTCTTCCTCTTTTTCTTCTCCTCACTGGAATCAGAACTATCATCTGGAGGTTTAGGAGGAGGTTTCGGGGGGGAGGGAATTTTTCTCTTGACTTTTCCCTTCTAAAGACAAAGGCACATCCTCATAAAGAGCTTCAACAGGAGAAGAATTAGCTTCACTATCTGTCTCAAACAATTTTAAAGCTTGTGTTATAGCATTACAAAGTGTCCATAATCTTAAAGACAATACATTCCCTTTCTGATGTTGTTTTCTTAACTCCTTTTGGACCTGTTTCCATTCTCCTGAATTTAACTGAACTTTCGTTTGATGCCGGAACCAATAGCAATGTCGTTCAATATGCTCAAACAATTCATTGAATCGCTTTGAGGAAGCTTTAACTCCCACAGATTGTAACAGACCTTGTATTAGGTCCAAATACTGAGTTTTCAAGGAATTAGAATTCCCCATTTTAATCCCGAAAGTCCCCCTTTCTTTTTCCCGGGGTGCTTACAGTACCCTTTTGGTTTCGTCGTGCCCCACGTTGGGCGCCAGATGTTGCCGATGAAATGAATCACAGAGCTGCTGTGGTGCAAAATGTCTCCCGAGATTCGGGTTCCTTTATTTTTTATACCATCTACACAAAGGAGTAACTCTTGTCAAGCACAATGAGTAGGTAGTTTTTTGGAATTGACGCATGCGCACTACATCTAAGGCTTCCTTCTCTTAATTACATTCAGACCCTCCTGTTCCCAGGCCTGTTCCTTCTGAGGAACTAATAAACACTCTTGTTTGCAAGCAATGTTTCCCCTGGGAACGGGCAGAGTCACTGAGCAGGAATTTCTATTAGCAGACAAGTCCGGCCACTTCGGTGAAATGTCCCGCGTGCACAGTTTCTATGCTAAGTTTCCTTCAGCTCCGAGCAAATATATAAATTCTGCAGCCCAGCAAACACACAGCCAGACGCTGCCTGATTCTACTCTGCAGACTTTGGGCTGAGAAGGACTTCAGAGGCTAAGATTCCGTGATCCAGAATTCAGCTCTGGACCCGCGCTCCTGGGAGAGAAGAGGGCCCATCGTCTGCTTGTTTTTCTAGGGTATCTCATTGGAAACTAAGTCGGGGATCTATCGGTGGAAAGAAAACACAGTGAGCGGAGCCACATTTATCTCCTCCCTGGAGCCTGTTGACACACTCTGCTCGACATCAGGAGGTCTGAAGATTGGAAAGGACCCGACTCGACTGGGATCACTTCTCTACAAGACAAGACAATCACAGTCTGGTAAGTTCTAACTCGGGATGAATCAGAAGAGAAGATACTACTGCCAGAGACAGAAATGTTCAGGATAGATTCGTGAAATAAGTAGAAGTGTTTTTGTTTGGGGGCTTTTTGTTTTTGTTTCCATCATTTGACCCAAAAAGAAGGTAGTCCTTCTTCCTAAAGTTCTCATGAAAAGAAGTAGACTTCCTGGTAATGACATGCTTCTGTGAAGCCAAGGGATGTGTGTTTGACAGATCTGTACCCAGGTCTAGTCTGACAGAATCTTTTTTTGTTCCTGTTACTCTCAGTTCCACAGCCCACACTAGACAGAACTGAAAGTCACATCAGAGATTTTACATGAACTGTCGAAAAGTCTGTCTCTATTCAACACTCAGTGAATGTTCAAAAACTGAATTCTATAGAGCTGGGAAATCTTATTCCTATTTGCCCGGAAGAGGGAAGTTCAAATGAATTACTCTCATTCAGCGTGATCTGCAAGATGCACTTTCCAGTTCTCTCTACTATTTCTCTTTACAGCTAATAAGTATTTACTCGTGTCTTCATCTGTACTGCGCTGGTTTCAACTACCTCCCAGACACAGATAACTCAAGCACGTGCACCTCCAGGGCAGTTCTCAGCTCTAGGCTCCAGTCTGTTCAACTGCCTGGGGTTTATTCCTTCTTTAGTTTTGCATAAATCTTTCTTGTCTTTTTTTCAGGCTTACTGAGGTATAAATGACAAATAAAAATTCTATCTATTCAAGGTTTACAACTTGATATTTTGGGACATGTACAAACATCATCAAATAATCACCGAAATCAAACCAATAAACATAACCCATCGCCTTGCACACTACCTTTTGTATGTGTGTGTGGTAAGAACACTTAAGATATGTCCTCTTAGGTATTTCAAGTATATAATATAATTTTGTTAACTATAGTCACCATTCTGCATGTTAGATCTCATTGATTTTTCCATCCAGTATAACTGAAACCTTCGTTTGACCAACATCACCCCCATTTCCCCTGTCCCTCCAGCCCCTGGCTACCATCAGTCTCTCTGCTTCTTCTCTAAGTTTGGCTGTTTTGAGATGCCACATACAAACAAGCTCTTGTGGTATTTGTCTTTCTGTTCCTGGCTTAAAATCTAAATGAATCTCCTGTATTTGTCCTTTTCTTTGGGAAGAATATCAAGGATCTGAGAAGTTGCCCGCTTTCTCCTCCCTCCCAACTGAGCTTTCTCCTCCCCTCTCTCTGCTCCTAGCAACATGCCCTCCCTGTTTGAGAGTACCAGCAAGAATTTGGTCAAGGAGCTTGGAGACAGAGACCTGAGACCTGTCAGATTCCTGCTGAATGCCAACAAATATTGTCAGCTTGCGCTATTACGGAAGAGGAAGAGTCACTCACAGTTCTGGGAACAACCAGATGTCCCAGTTGAATACACCCTCGTGGACATCCTGGAGCCAAGTTCTTCAGTCCCAGGTAGTGTCAGCCAGGGGCAAAGAAGGCGAGGAGTGAAAAACAGGGTGTTCAGACAGAGGTGGTGCAGCCTCCAAGAAGCCCTAAGACATCACACTGGTAGATCGCAAATCAGCCTTGCCAAGAGGCGCAGGGTAAGGAGCTACGATTATTTGAGAATCTAGTAATTATCATGACCCAGGCATTTATTAATAGTACACTTAATACTTACAATAGTCTCTTGAGTTAGGAATATTATCCTTATTTGCATTAAGAACAAATTGAAACATAAAATAATCTGTTCAAAGTTACATACCCGGTAACTGGTAGGACCGGAATTCAAATCAGATCTGTCTGGCTCCAAACCCCAGACATTTCTGTTCAGTGTGCCACCTCCTGGGGCTGATGCCGTGCCTGGAAAGATGCTGCTGTGGGTCTCCTGGACCAGCCTTCACCTGACATCATCATTTCTTAAGGTTAGGGCGTTATCCCCATTATCCAGCCCCTGGGTGATTCAAACATTTGTCCTCAGCGGTAATTTACATTTAAAACATTCATCAGTTAGTTAGCTCCTCCACTGAGAGACTTACATGAACGTGTAGGAGGGCTGGGAACAATAGGACTATTATCTCATTTCCCACAGCAGCTGCTCCAGAATGAATTCTTGGCTAAACCTAAGGTCACCTTTTCTGTCCCCAGAAACTGTTGTGACAGGACCATTCCTCCTCAGTGACAATGGGATCCAGAAGCTGAAGGCGAATGCGGGCGTGGCTGTTGGGCCAGAGCTGAGTGCACCGGGGGAGGCTGCCCAGTCCCACAAGTCCTCCCTTGAGTTCCAGTTTGTTACCATCCCACCACACAACTGGGAAGCCCTCCGAAAGAGGTGAGGCCGTGGGAGAGGAAAACCTGTCAGCAGAGCCCCGGGAGGTGTGCTCAGGGGCAGAGAGGCCTCAAGCAGCTTCATTCTTCGCTGCTGAGGCGCAGAATGAAGAAAGTCACATCCCAGATCACACTGCTCCTCCCCTGTATTCATCCATTCGTTCAACTACCAGTTACTATCTAAGATCTAAGTATTAAAAACGTAATTACCCGCAACTGTGCCATTTTGTGCTGAGCATCGAACGATCACAAGACCGAGAAATCTCTCTGCCCTGAAGTCACTTACGATGCGTGTGGACAGGCGAAGGGCAGGGAGTGAGGAAACAAGCAGCGAAAAAATAAAAAGTATCATTAAAATGAGACAAAGACTCTAAAACTCTGTTTCAGTGAAGTATGCAGCAGTGTCCTGGGGCTTAACTCACCTCCATGCATATGGGCAAAGATGGGTAACCAATGATCCTCTGAGAACCAAAGAACTTCTTAAATCTTTATGCCTCTTAAAAACAGAGATGGCAGTTTAAATAGTATTTTTATGAGGGCAACACGTTGTTAAATAAGCAACTAGTTAAAGTCACTTCTAGTTTCCAGTCACTGCCTGGAAACTAGAAGTTACACTGGCATTGCCCAATTTCTACAATCCTGGTGTCTTGCAAGCCCTTAGTGGAAATGACATTTGCAAAGACTGTGATGCGAAAGAGTATCTGGGAGCTGCTCAGAGGAAAATAAAAAAAACATTTTTCTTGTTGGTATTTCTTTCCGTAGTTAAAGAGATCATTTCCAGGATCAATTTTATTAGCTAGTTCCAAGTAAAATAAGTCTGAGGTCGGAGCTTTAAATATGGAAAAGAAAAGGCAGTTGGCTATTTTTAATAAGTGGGATGCAGAGGATGTTGTGTGTTTCAGCTACAAAGGTAGTTACAGATGGTGAGGGGAGCTCGGAAGGCAAGGCCGGAGGTGAGAGAGAAGGGCTGGAGGAGGGGAGTTTATTTAGTCTTCTCTGTGGGGCTAAGAGTTGAGTTCAGACCTAAAGAATAAAAGAAGCAAGCAAGAGTGTGAGGACAGGGATCCAGAGGAGGGTTTAAAGGCTCCGAGACAGGACAGAGGTGGACGTTTTCAAGATGAGGGGAGGGAGACACTGAGGATGCAGCTTAGCTAACCAGGATGAAGGAGACAGAAAATGAGGCTTGGGAGGTCAGATGACATAGCCCTTAGACACATGGTCAGTGACTTGAACTTCACTCCAAGGCAGTGGGAAAACCCAGCACTGCATACTCTGTGATCTCCTCTACTGAGAAGCAAAGCAAGGATCTCTCAGTATTTCATGTGGCTGTCCTCCAGGGCACCAACCCAGCAGGGTCCCCGAGTAGAATCAGAGATGAGTCTCAGAACCGAAACAGAGGTGAGATTTGTCTTCAGTGTTTCAAACCTCTCATCTCCCGCCCTACAAACCCACCTACCAAGGACAGTCACCCCATCAACACCCACCAGGGCTGGTCAAGAGGAAGTCACCCAGAGTTCTCCCTACTCCCTCAGCCTTCATCTGTCTGCTCCGCCTCCCGCCCTGACTGGGCCTCCCAAGGATGGATGTGGGTTTCCCTGGCTTTGACAGGAGGATCTCCTAAGGATTGTTCTCAACCATTCAGACTTGCCTGCTTCTAGACTCTCCTGGTGAGGGGCTCTAGTGCTGGAAACCTACAAACTCCTCCTAACAGAACTAATGTAAGTTTGGAAAATGCAGATGTCTTTAACAGTATGGCATGGGTACTCTCATACCCGTGCCTCCATCAGGGAATGGGGGCCCCTCCATTGTGCACATCAGAGACGTCCTTCTTAACCTATAAGCTGGGGTCCTCCTACCGTTGAGGGCTCACGCATCGGAGTCTGCAGCCCTTCCACGTCATGAGGAGAGGAGGAGCCTGAGGAGTCATCTCTTTCACAATCTGACCCTTCCCCTCCCTTATGTTCTCCAGGAAAGTGTTGAATCAAAAGCTGTCATTTCTGAAAGAACACCTGAGCTGAAGGGACAACCTGTATGTGGTGACAGAGGCCGTGGAACTGACCAGCAGTACCACGCTGCGGGACAGAAGCTGTGTGAAAGTCGAGGGAAGCTGCCTTATTCCTTGGAGTACTTGTGTCAAGGTACCAGGTCGTCCTGCAGTGGGACAGGGCCCCAAGAGCACAGCCAGCCCAGCCCCCTTCCCAGGGGCTCTGGACCCGATCAGGACCTGTCTTCGGCGGTTGGGATGAATGGCAGCATTACTTCCCATTTCTCCTGTGCTGGGGAATCCTGACTTCTGCCACGAGAGCCCATCTAACATCCTCACTTTAGTATTTTAATATACGGGATGATTTGATATTGACAAAACAAGAAATAGATGTAATTATTTGAGATTATATTTTGCTTTGGATAAATGATAGATTCTGGAAACTCTGAAAGTGTGGTTGCTGTACGATATTCAAGTGCAGTTTTATGGCTGGAGGAAACAAGGGATCATTAGCATAAAATAAAACCTCAGCAGTTACAATATCCTGAATACTGTGAGACCCTGAGCAGAAAGTGTATAGACTCAGATTTAAATATACTTAAGCACATGTGATATATACAACTCACTCACAGCCAACTATAGCTTTTTTAATTAATTTAAACAAATTAATTTATTCAGTATTTATTCAGCATCATCTATGATTCAGGGACATAGAGTTTTGTGTGTGCACTATAATATGCTTTTGCATGCACTATGTTTTGTCTAATTTGTTTTCATTTAAGAGATCTAGGAACTAAAAAGAAAAAAAAAACCTAGAATATGAAGTAACTTTTCCAAATTTGGTTAATTTGTCCTGGGGGAGGACCAGGTTCTAACTGGGTCATTTGATTCCAAGTCTAGTGAACAAAGTGCCTGAAACAAATACATTACTCCAGTTTGGAGGGTATTTTGGTGTTCAGCTTTAGGTTCCATCTGCTTGGGTCAGTGGACAGGACTTTGTGAGAACAGGAGGAAAAAAAATCTGTGTCCTTCACGAAGGACGACTGCTCACAGCCAGAGCTGTTCTAAGCATCCGCTCCTGGGCTGCGATGCTGTTTAACACATTTCAAGAAATTCCAGCTTAGAATTCTACGTCCAGTCAAAACAACGATCAAATCTGAGAGTAAAGATGTCTTCAGGTAATGACGGTCTCAAAAAAACGTATTCCCAGCTCCCTAGGAAGGGTGAGTATGAGGCAGGGAGGCGTTAAGTGCCACATTAATTAATGGCTAACAGAAAGGTCTTAAGTGAGGAGAAGCAGCCTCCTGCAACAGCTGAGGGTGAACTTGGACGGACGGACTTTGGGATGTGAATGCTTTAGGAGGGTGAGGGAAGGGGAGGCGAGGAGTGGGAGGAGATTGGGAAAACGAAATCCTCGTCATCCAGAGGAGAAAGGACACGGATATACTGAAGTCCGGAAAAAAATCAGATCATCGCAATATAAACATGCAATTGAGAAAGGTGAGGGCAAATATCAGACAACAGAAGGAAAAAAGTGGTAACTGGGGGTCAGGACCGGGAAGTGGGAGGGTGGGGCTGCTGGGGCCTCTGCTCACAAGCTGTCTAGTTCTGTTTGAGGGGTTGTTTTGTGGAGCCTGGGGAAGTAATTAGGTTTATTTCTTTACTTCTTTATAATGGAGGTACTAGGGATTAAACCCAGGACCTCGTGCATGCTGAGAACACACTCTACCACTGAGCTCCACCTTCCCCCACCCCTCCTCCGTTCTATCTGAGTTTTAAATCACACACATAAATGACCTTATTGCTTGGTTTCTCTCTGCAGAGTGAAGGAGAGGGAGAGGATCTCAAAGTGAGAGGCAAGATGCTGACTCTGCTGCAGGGCATGGTGATGGCCTATAAGAGGAAGCAGCTGGTTTTCAAGGAGAACGGCTGGGGTGAGTGGAGACTGAAGGAGGCAGATGGGGAGAGGGGTCTGCTTCTCCTGAGAAATAAGACGGGAAAGACCCTCCACAGGCACCCTTGGCTTCCCTCCCTGTCGGGGGAGAGATGGAGCGAGATTTTTCAGCCACCTCCAAGCCTGGCAAGACTGAAATGTTGCTACAGGAGATACGGAGACAGTCTCTCATGTGGAGACGGACTAAAGGGGCCCAGCACGGAGTATCCTTAGCTGAGCAAAGTGCATGCCTAATCCCAACCATCCCTACTCATTCAGGTCCTGCCCCCGTCAGCAGCTCACCTGGGGGAGCCACAGAGCCCTCCCCAGGGTTCCCACTATCCCAGCTGCAGCCCATAAGATAGAGCCACGTCACAGGCCGCAGATGTGACGTCCCAGTAACTTAACACAGGATTTCGTCCACATCGCTCCCTCCCGCACTAGCCTCATAATGCACAGCCCCCCAACACATGCACACTTATTTTGGGTTCTGACTCCACATCAGGGAACCACTGGCATCGAACAGCAATCCTATACCCCGGTGGGAGGGTGAGCACTGGGAACACAGCCAGCTTGGCATCCGTGGCCTCTCCTTTCCCAAATGCTGAGACCCAGCAAGAGGTCATCCCGATCCAGCTGAGGTCCAGCTCCCCACAAATCAGGAAATGCCCTCAACACACACACACACACACACACACACACCTTCCTATGGTATTCTCTCTGAAACATCTTGCCAAGGAAGGGTCCTGGCATCAGTTAGCTCCTGTCAATGGCGGCAGTGAGAAAGGGGCTGAACTCCCCGATCTTATTGGGTTAAAGGACTTTGGCTTCTGGAAAAAGGCCAGCCCTACAGAGGTTAGACAGGAGGATAGGATTCACAACTGATTTAGAGAGAGACCAGAGGGTGCTGAGGGCGCCAGGACATGTAGTGCTACTAGAGATCATGGGAAATGACAAAGTGTTATTTAGGAGGGGATGAACAGGAGCCCCATTTTCAAAAATATATTGTATAAGCGTTAGCAAGTGTGATGGACTTAGAGGAAAGAATAACCTCACAGCCTTGCCTGCAAGTCATGTCCTGTCCACTGGGGGGCGTGTGCGGCTTCCCTACACAACTCACACCTAAGGGTGAAGGGAACTAACATTCAGGACTTGCCTGTGCGGTAAACCCTAGACTTCCCTGAACCAACTCAATCATCAGGATTCAGAAAGGAACACAATGTGTAGAACAGTTGAATAATTTGCCATAGCACTTGCTGTGTAACTTTGGAGAAAATTAGAATCTGAGCGGCAGCCTTCTCATCTGTTAATGGACATGAGCCCGTGTCTCTGCAGAGCTGACGGGAGGAGTGTAGATCAGTGCCCAGCAAAGGGACTGACAAGTTTATCTTCATCCTGTCCAGTCACCTGGCTCCTTCCCCGTGAACTGACAATAAGATCAGGTCTCTGTCATCTCATAAACCCTCTTATCCATGGGTCCCCTCTAGAGGTCCCCTCCGCCTACCCACTTGCCCCTCACAGAAACTTCCTTAAGAATCTTCTACCCTCTGTGTCCTCACCCCTCCCTGGCACCCACACCCCAACCCACTGCAGGCTGTCCTCCCATGAATTCACTCCACGTGTGTCACCAAGGCACATACGCGACTACTCCCTCCTTGGGGCTCCTCCCTGGAGGCTAGGATACCACCATCTATGGGGATCCTCCGTTTACGGGCTGTTTCACGATAGCGCTCTAACGTTAGAGGGCGTGGCGACTGCAGATTCCAGGTTTCACTTCAATTATTGTTTGTATTTTAGGGGGTGGAGGTAATTAGGTTTATTTATTTATTTTTTACTGGAGGTACCAGGGATTGAACCCAGGACATTGTGCATGCTAAGAACACATTCTACCACTGAGCTATACCTTCCCCTGCCCAGGTTTCTCTTTAGCGTGTCTAATTAAGAGCATACAGAGTGAGGTCAGGGATTCTGATGCCAGCGGTCCCTGGGTCACACTGAGAAAAGCTGCCCCACCTGCCCTGGAGGAGGAAGCTGTGGGGTGGGGGCAGGGGCTAGCAGGGGCTGTAGGTGCAGGATGGAAAAGGATCCAGCAGGAACCACCTGGGTTCTCCTGACCTGGCTTCTTCCCCACCCAGACATTCTTCTCATGTCAGATGATGATACGCAGAAAACCTTTCCAGAAGGTGAGTTCCAGAGCTGGAAAGGCTCTCTCTGGACCTTGGGCCCCACTGAGCACTGACCCCCTTTGGATGCTAACAACACCTCCAAGGGGCTCTGTGCTGCAGACCCACAGGGAAACTCTCCTCCTGTCAAATAGGCTGCAAATCTCCCATCCCTTTTACCAGCCACAGACCCTTGGACACAAAGAAAGCCACCTTTCTCCTTTTAATACTGGGCTAGGGGAATGTGCATGCATGTATGTGTGTGTGCGTGTATATGTGTGTGCGTATGTGTGTGTCTCAGTGTGTGTGTTGGGGTAGGAGAGATTAACTCTTGGGGAATGAGCACTTCTCTTTATCCTCCCAGAGGGCGGGCAGCAAAGTTCAATGACAGGTGGGAATTTCAGTCAGGAAAGTGGGATCCAATCCCTCTGGGAGGTCATTTTGTACAACCTCCCACCCCCACCCCCACCCCCCTCCCCATGACTGCCTTGGCTGTCCTCACCCACGGCACTGGGTCTGGCCCCTGGTGAAGAGCAGGGTGGGGGTGGAAAGGAAAGGAGGGGGTCAGGGAAGTAGGGGCAGAGTCAGGGAAACTCAGTGCCTTCAGAGACTAACTCGGGTGGGAATTTAGTCGCTTTTTCAGACATCGAGAGCAATCGCAGCCTCCCGATAGGTGAGTGTGTATTGGAGGGGACTAGGGATGGGGTCCTAATAGCGCACATCTGAAGAGCAGGGCAGATGGCCCCTGCCTTTGCCACCATTGCCCCGGGGACTGGCCCTACTTTCTTTGAAATGGGAAGGGTCTGAGAAGGTGGAGGGATGGACACGGAAGGGGGCGGGAAGAGGTGAAGGAAGAAGGAGTGGGTGGTAGGCGGCCAGGACCCTCCAAAATGACTCAACAGTCAATCTGGGGTGTAACAAAGGGAGATGACCACTTGTGACTCTTTGCAGGAAGAACTCAGCAATGTTTTGGTCAAGGTGTGAGTGTTTACTGAGAGGGAACTGGGGGCTCCCCGGGGGGGAAACTGCAAAGCTAACTACCCAAAAAGTGGTCTGCATGCAACTTACAAAACTGAGCTCTACTTCCAAGTGGATGCTTTGTTCAGCCCCACTTATTCGTTCATTCATGCATGCATGCGTGTACCAAATTGGACTTTGTTGAGGACTCACTCGGCAAGAGGCATTATTCTGAGCTGTGGGGATACGACCATAAACCAAACAGAAATGCCTGCCTCATGGACCTTCCGTTCGCCTGACCTCCCACGCTCGGCGGGTCACCCGGGGGCCACCTGAAGTCTGCTAGGAGAAGCAGAGAACCGCCGACTCCACTCCTTGGTCAATTCTGTGCGGACGTACCTGATGCAGGCAGCTCCCTGATCAGAAGGATAGTTTATGTGTGCCGGGGCCACCCCAAGCATTTCACATCCATAAACTCATTTAATCCTCAGAGGATTCCCACTGAACAGATGTGGAAACTGAGCCCAGAAACTGAGATTCTCCCTCTAGAGCCCAATGCCAGAACTCACATTATTCCCGACCTTTCCCAGTAATGAGCGCCTGGGCATTTTCTTCCACTTCCCAGGGCCCCTTTCCAGACTTTCATCTCCTCCCTTCGTTCTGCACCCCGTCATGTGACAGCACTAGGACTGCCCATCTTTTTTGCCTTGTGTGACAGCTTCATCCTCAGAGCACAACACGCCATCTGCACACATGCTTTTGGTTTGGTAGACCAGTGAGATGGAGGTACCTGGCTTATCACAGCAGGAATGTCCTAATCAACGAATGCTTCCCACTTTCTGGTTGGCGGTGCTGCCCGAGTGCAGATTTCAAGCACCTACAAGAGGAGGTTTCCCGGGAAGTGACGGCGCTGGCCCAGCTCTCCAAGGACATTCAGGGTGCTGTTTTCCATCATCTCCTGGCCAAGCTCAAGGACCGAGGGGCTCTGCAGGACCTCGTGGACATGGTGAGGGGGTCCTACAGCTGCCTACGGCAGATCAGACTTGTGAAGGGGGCAGGGTCAGGAGATCTGGCTGCCAAGCCACGTGGGGGAGGAGGCACGAGGAGGGTGTCTGGGGTCCCGAGCACTGCCTCAGGCACGATGGCCAGGTCCAGGGCGTGCAGCCCGCGTGCTGAGGCTGCTTGGAATCTCCTGGGGGCGGTGAAGGGCCCTCACCCTCCCACCTTGGTTAATCACTTGTAGACACAAAAAACACTAGCAAAATTATCTAACAGCATTACTGCTGCTATTACTGTTGCCACTGCTGTATCAGCAGTGATGTTGGTCTCCTGTAGCTGGATCGACACTGTGATCGCGTGGGCTTGGGTGACACCGTCCCAAGCGAGACGGGAGAGGACTCAAGTAATATATGGCTCAAGTCAAGCTTCCAAATCATGTACCTCCTTGAAGCAATCGCGGGTAAGAGTGATGTGAGGGAGATGTGGGAGCCTCACAAGTTTGGCCTGTAGACCTAAAAGGAAGGGGTTAGGTGCCACCTCTCTGAAACCCTTCTAGCAGCATGACCTCCATCCTCACATCATCCCTTCTCCGAGGTCAGTGAGATAAATTCGCCGTATGACACAGAACCAGCCTAGACCTAGGGAGACTGGCCCAGGCTCATCCAGCACATCACTGGGGGTGGAGGATTCCAGGCTCCAGCCTCAGCATCCCATCCCCTGGACCATGTTATGTGGTGTCCTGGAGACCATCCCAAGGGCGAAAAGAGGGAACTTGACCTTCATGTCTAAGGGGTTTTATTCCTCCACTCCCATCACATGAGGTCTCCCAGTTCACAGTGGGAAATGAAAATCTGAACCCTCACCACTTTCTCTACCCCAATGTCCCCTGTCCCCAGTGCTGAGTGACACTCAACATGAGCTGCTGGCCCAGTCCATGGAGAAGAGGATCCTGCGCCAGCAGCGGGAGCTGGTGAGAAATCAGTCCCCAGGGGCCAGCGTCCAGGGACGGGGGTGAGGGAACCGGGGATAAGAATGATCCTGAGGACAGAGAGATGACCTAAGATTCTGCTGGGAGGGGAGACAGGGTCCTGTGTGGCTGCCAGGAGCTCCCCACTGCCTCTCCCTCGGGGGTGCAGGCCCGCTGGGGGTGAGTCTACCTCAGGAGAGTCTCTGTCTCCATGGCAACCCCTGCAGAGGTGCCCACAGTTCTAAAACAGCCCCATAGGAATACAGGTTTGGGGAGCTCAGGGGACCTGAGTGACAGCCCTGCTTTCCTCACACAGTTACCATTTGCAAATTGCTCCCTCTCCATATATACGTACACATGAGTACCTCTATGCACATAGACATATGCACATACACACACACTGCACACGCACATGTATGATTCCAAATGCCACTAGTCTGCAAGGAAATGTTAGTATCACCATTTAGCAGCTAAGGAGCCAACAGCGTGTCCAAGACCACACTGATCCCAGGACAGGCCGGGACGTGACTCTTGGTCCCCTTGACTCCATCACTTGGCCTCTTCCTTTATCCTGAGAGGCCCCTGGCTCTTGGGACAGAAGGTTTTATCTCCCGGCCTCAAGGCTGACCTGCAACACCTGACACTGTTTCTTCCAGGTGAGGAGCATCCTGGAGCCCAACTTCAGGTACCCTGAGAGCATTGCCTTCACCCTGAAGCCCGAGCTCCTCACCCCGCTGCAGGGTGAGGGGGTGGCCATCACCTTCGGCCTGCTGGAGGGGTGTGGCCTGATGATGGAGCCCAGCAGCCACAGGGTCACCTGGGACCCGGAA